TTCTCACCATCACTGAAATCCAGTATATGTTTCTGAATTGTTAACTCCAGAAAAGAAGGGGGAATTTTTAGCTCTACAGAACAAACGCAGCGAAGGGCATTTCATAACAAATAAAAAAAAAACAAATAAAAAATATATTACGAATCAGTCAATTTAAGGGAAGAAATACGAAGATAGTTCCTGGCCCCATATCAGTAAATAATTTGACGCTTGGTTTTAGATCAGACGACATTTTGTGGGAATTAAGTTTGTAAGGAGTAAACCGCATAGGAAGGTGCAGCAAAGAAGAGTGTGAGAAGCGGTTGTAACAGTTCAACCTTGATGATCAAGTTTGCTCTGGTGCATTTGTTGAACAGGTTTCCAGTCGATGTTCTCCGGCATCGTACATGATCCGGCCCTTCTGGCTTTTCAACATCAAGTTGAATTTATAAGATGCATTTCACTCTGTCAGTTGACAGATAAATATTTACCATCTTCTTGAACATACAAAATGGTCGATCCATCTTATGGTAAATTATTCCATATGGAGCCATATCTAACAATGTAGAAATTTCTTCTAAGGCTGATCCTGAATTTAGGTAAAGTGCCTATACGTTCATTATCTCGCAGTTCATAACTGGTAATTTCCTGAAAGTGCAATTGATAGGTTCCAACGTATACTTTCCGCCACATGAGTCTGTTTAGGAAGCACAGATTAAATTGCATTCTACGTAATCACAAGGGTTTAAGATTCAGCTCCATGCACCTATCTCTGTATGAAAGAGTGCTTGAATAACCAAATATACGCTTCGTGAAGACGCGTTGAAGGTTTTCAATGACTCTCAAAGCACGCTTTTGCGGGATAATGAACGTACCACAGCAATATTCAAGCAAAGGCCAGATACTGATTTTGAAAGCAATTAGTCTGGTTTCTTTCAAGGTTAACTGGTGGCGTATGAGCCCGATCGACTGCTTGGCCTTTTTCACCATATGATATGTATGCTCGCCAAAGTTTAACGAAGTACAGTATCTCAAATCTAAGTCACGGACAGACTGGCTGTTGGGAATGAGTTCGTCATGAAGCCTGAACCATTCTGCTGCTATCTGACATCCACACGCCAGAAGACTACACTTCGATGTTGCGAACGTCATCTGCCACATATCAGCCCATCTCTCAATGGCTTTCAAGTCGCTTTGGATATTGTTAAGTTCATCGGTATGCTGAGAACTTGAGAAGTGTAAACAACCTTTAGATCATCAGCAAACAAATAAGGGCTGCCAAGGTCATTTATTTACAGTAGGAAGGGTAACGGACCTAAAACACTTCCATGTACCACTTCCCGGTTGCCCAGTCCGAGGAAGAGGGTTGACTTATGGGACTCCACCCGGAGCCTTGGGTCTAAAGACCTGACCTGCAAAGCAGCGGGACTATTGTAGTATATCACATACCGTTGGGAACCGGCTGCCACGATGATGCTAACACAGCTTTCTAGCAAGATCAAACTGCTCAGCCTGTCCAAAAAATCCGAAAGAAGCAGCCTTAAGACCAGGAGGAATTTCCTGTACCAACTTACTCTCCGAAGAGCACGAAGGCCGTTGTCAGCCAGGTGGCTCATACGCCTTCACAGAAGCCGGTGGCCATCGAGGTAGTTCATCCACCCTCTGTTGAATACTCACTTCTGGTCGCAGAATTAGGTGGTCAGTGCCCTTATAGCCGGTCATATGGGCTTTGACACATCGTCTTACAAGCTCTTGGGGCAACTAGTGAGGCACCAGGTGACCAGCCCAGAACCGCCACGCTCTGGGACGCTGCCGCTGAGTGTCCGCTACTGCTTATTTATCCCGCCTGCGAACAGCCGATAGTTATTCATAGTTACCTTCGTAAGGAAGACGTTCCCGTATCCGCAACTTGGGGACGTGTCCGGTGGTGTACAGCTCCCCCAAACCAACCAGTAGTCAGTTCACTTCCGGAAGAGCGTGTTGTCCAGACCGATAAGTAATGTCTCCTCAAGCAGACTCATGGAAGTTTGAAGACTAAGTTGACTCGTCTCCTGTTCTCTTACCGCACGACACCGACTGTCGACAGGAAAGTCACCCGCGGAGTTAATTCTTGGCCGACCACTCCGAACAAAACTTCACCTGCTTTTTCCTAACCCTCTAAGAAGCATGGAGACAAAGCAAGGAAACGTGCGTAGGGATTATGAAATGCCAGAGAAAATGTGTCAAAATGATTTTGATCCAGTGTATAAAGACTGCTTTGCGAAACAAGATGGAACCCCGCTACCCTCATGTCCTCACCAAGTGATCATGTTCGACCAAGCTCAATCGAACCACGTGGGCTGAGTCAGCAATCGACTGCTACTGGCGTACAAACGGATGGAGAGTCCGCCGCATAAAACGAGTTGCAAACAGATGCGGAACAACCTCAATTACGAAGATCAAAACACACGCCTACGCCAGGTGATCGTTATCAACCCGGAGTCTGCAGTCTTTACCAGGGAAGGGCGCGGTGTCAGATACGCACTTGAATACTGATCGTGAACACAGTTGCTCACGTGCTTGGTTGACAATGACCTTGCGTTGCCTTCCTTATTTCATTGGTTCTTCGTTTCGATATCTGAACAATGAACAGTGAGTAATGAAGCATTGCTTTATAAGCCACGTTGGGCGGCCTGACGGGTTGCCGAAAAACAGTGATGAAACAATGAAGTTGGTACTTTTATTATCAAATGTATAGACTTATCATTTTTAATGTAGTAGCCCTGCTTCCGCTTGGTTTTATAGCTCCAATAGACGATAAATAATAAATCCAAGGTATTTTCTGGGAATTGGATGGACAGATAGTGCTGCTTAACAAAATGTAAGTGGATGTGTGCGTTGTCAAACCGAGTTAACCCTACCAGACCCCTGTACTGAGTTTTCGGTAAGTTCCTATTCTACAGCTATACCACTGTACCTAATTTTCGTTAGTTTGCCTAGTATCATTATTCTACAATGTCTCTTTGTTCCAACTCATTCTAATCGCTTCTTTGCATGTAATTAAGATTTTTATGTATCACTTATGAGTAGAAGGATTTTTGTTAGTATTTTTGTTCGTCGCAGTCAGCCGACAATCCAGATTTTTATATATCATGTTGGTTTTTTCTCCTAAACCTTCAGGAGCCCAGGTATAGGGGAAATTTAGGTTCAAGGCCTCAGGTCTGGTAGAGTTACATGTGGCTAGCGTAGGTGAAGGAACGACCGATTCGGCGAGAGTGTTTCACGATTGACACATGCATATAGAAAAGAAATTTGTGCGAACACCACACGGATGTACTGTACTGCTAGGTTCCGGGCTGACTTTTCAAGTTTTGTTGCTTCTGAGCGGCACACATGATTTTTATTGTGTAATAGCAAGTATGCCATTATCAGGTCACTGTAATCCGCGATACGTATTTGAAAGCCTGATGTTGTGGTTGGTCCGCTGCAGGGAGATCGCCCTTCAGACATGGCTGCCAGGCTTGAATTGCGTATTTGACCTTGGGAGAACATCTGCGCTGCACATCTGTTGGAGGATTGAGATGTATATTTCTAGCCAATGTAAAGTAGGATGCTTTTATTAAAACAGTTCTACACTACGCCTGCGGGTTCAGTTTTTCATCAAGCTACGGGCCATAGTTATCATGGTATATTTGCCGATAGTAAACTTGGGTTGTATATGGAAATGTTTGACATAGAAGAAGAATATAAGAGTGATAAATTCACTCCCTGAAGAACACCACCGGTCACCATCCACGTCGATCTGGAGTTTGCTTACCATCATATCAAAATCTCGGTGCCGTTGTTATTCCCCCATTTTGCTAAAAATGCTACACGAATCACCAAATTTATCCGTTTGCATAACGGGACTTTTGCATCAGATATAAAGCGATGCCCATCTAACCGACTATTTCTAAGCCTTTCTGTAATGAAAGGCCGAATTTTTGACAAGTGAGATTAGTCTTCTCGAACCTTGAGTTAGCATCTTGAGCATGCTCTATAACACCCTACACTGGGCTGCATTGTTGCTTAAGTTCCTTTATGGCAGCTACCCTATAGAGTGCGACCGGTGATCAAAGGGATTACGCTTGCCTTGTGATCCGGAGGTCATTGGTTCTAATCCGCCTAGGTGCGGGCGACCCTGCGGTATACCCAGCGCTCTTGCGACTAGTGGTGGTCGTGTGGCGGCGAAGCGTCGGTCCGATGTGCTGGCGTACTGCCGATATTACTCGATGTGAAACTCGATATTGACAAACACACTTAGTTCTTGTCAATCCCAACGGTTCATTGGTCACCGTTTCGTTTTTCGACGATAGCTTAGTAACCCGCACTCATCATGTGATGGTGACTTGTACATCCAGTTTTTCGGCGCCTTTATGAACGAGGCAGTTTGTGAGTAGCGATTTATCATTTCTATCCGTGGTTTGCAAATCATATGCCAGAGTTGTATTCAGAAAACTCATGGAACCAGATTACGAACGTAAATACTGTCAGGATCACCGCACTAAGGGCATTGATACCGGATCATTTCCTGTAACACGTGATACTACTGCCCTTAACTCAGCCAGCTGCCAGCCGCGGTACTTAAAATCGATTTGTGCAGTCAATAATTTTATTCACCTGACCGTACAGCGTGATTGGATCTATCGGTTATAGGAGTTTCTATATGCCTCAATGAGGGGTAATCTCAACATAGGCGCATGCAAGTCTGAAAGATCTTCAAATGTCGGAACTTAGACTTGGATTCCAGCGGGAGCAGAAAAGCAATGTCGCGCCTGAACAGCAAATTTCTTATGCTTTGCTCCCACTTGACACCGTCATATTGCCAGTCCCACCGAAAACTCATTTTAGTCTGTGACATGGACGAAACGTTAATAACTGAGGTACAAAGTGGCGCCAAGGTAATTATGCGGCCGAAAATTTGTCACATGCTTAAAAGTTTGCGCCATTTCTATGAGTTGTGCCTGGTCACGTATTCCACACGGGAAAGGACACAGTCCATAATGGAAAAATATCTCGATCCGGACTCAAAGTTCTTTGGAAATCGCATTCTCTGTCGTGAGGATATTGTTCCGCATTTTAAAAACAAACTGGACGCTTTCTTAGCACACATGCCAAAGTCATTCGGTAAGTCTCCAATGGCCCCGAGAGAGGTAGTTGGAAATGTGCACTTCAGAAATTCAGCTCTCAAAAATCCAGTCAATCGGGGCTTCACAACTATCCGAACACGACGTCCACCTGTTTGGATTTATATTGTGGCGCTGGATGATTTTCCTTTGGCTTGGTCTAATTTGGCAACTTGCATTCCAATTAGGCCTTTCTTACCCAGATTTAGTCGAAACAGGTCGGCCACATCCGAGGGCAATTATGTACTCAGCTTGCAAAGGTTTCTCATAAAGCTTCACAGCGCAGTGTTTCGAGACCAACGAACGTCATTCTATAAAAATGAAGGTGCCGAACTAAAGGCAGTGACAGAAACATCGAGAGCAAATTGCAGGTCCGCCTATTCTGTCATATCTCGTATTCGTAGGAGACCCTCCCAGACGCACCGATTTCAAGCACTGTGTCATTCAGATCCTGGTCGTCTGATTGACTTTGGGAATAAATCAAAGCAACTGTGGCATTATGCGAGGGGACAGCATCAGCCAAGAGCCTCAAGCACCTCAAAGAACACACCAACATGCAGTTCATTGCTGACACCCAATTACAGTATTGTTGGTTGCTCTAACCGACCTCACCGAACAATCGATTCGGACTACTTCACCACTAGCTGTCCACCGTATGCTCGAATGTCCGCACATGACGATACAGGCGAGTTAGTCCTCTGTGATCCAGATGACAATGAGAAAGTATTCGCGAGTTTCATGCCGTCGAGGCAACCCATGCGACATCTGTACAGACCTGCAAGGCTTATTCAACAATCCACTGTTCGTAATAATTTAGTACGATGAATTCCTGACCGACCATTTCTAGCCGGAATTTCCGGGTGAAAATAGAAAATTTGGGTTGCCATGGAGATTTTCAATTGGCAGATGCGGCCTTGTATACCTAACTTAAGGTATTATTTGTTTAGGTTTAACCCAGATGTTGGTATGATGAATAGTTGTTTAGCCACTGAAGCTGCTTATTGTTCGGTATATATATATATATATATATATATACATATATATATATATATATTCAACACTATACCAATTACAATATAATTGGCTGAGTGCCACAACACACAAGAAGAAAAAAGGATAGCATGAAAGAGAAAATAACTGTTAGGGTAGAAGAGTCTCACAGCAAGTGCGCCATTGCGTAAGGTCCGTGGCCATATGCTCCAGCGTTTGCAACCAGGTGTGCTCGGGGTCCTTTGGTCCCCAACCCGGGAGTCGGGAAGGCCCGACAACAGCCAACTTCAACGTTTGCGCCTTAACACATTGGATTCAAATTTTACTTTGCTCTCCTTTTCTTCGCTTCCAAGCCACGTCTGTGCTCACAAATAGGGCTCGTCGGGCTAGCCGCTGGGTAGGTATGCGAAGCACATGGCCAAGCCAGCGAAGCCTCCGGAGTGAAATGTGGCTATCAATCGGTCGGCGCAATTTGTTAGATCTAAAGACTCGCCGACGGACTTGCTCATTACTGATGTGATCCGCCATCAAACACAAGCAATGCTTTGCAGGCAGCGGTGATCAAAGACTGATAGCCCCTGAACATCGCTTTTGCGAACGGGCCAAGTCCTACAGCCTTACAGCAGAATCGCTCGTACCGTAGCATTATAGACACGTAACTTGAGTGCGAGACTGAGAACATGACGAAACCACAGGGGATTTGAATGTTATAGGTAGAAATTCATCACATCTAGGCTCACTCAGACAACCGTCACACGTCCGGAAAAGCACTGTACGCGCGTTTCCTCCTTTCGGGAATCGTCAGCAGTGCGCATTCCATCGGACCCTGGTAGGGCTCGAACCCGCAACTCGACTGTTGCCAGTCCGTGGTTGAGACTACTGAGCTACGGGGGACGGCAAAGACCATCGTAAATAAGTTATTGGATGTGATATAGCGCCGCTCACTATCCACTGACTTACACGTTACTGCCGTGCAGAGGACAGGATAGCCCCCTCATCAAGCGTCGAGCTTACCAAACTTAATGGATTTATACCTATAAATGAATTTGTCGACCACTTCCAACGGATGCCCCGAAAGGGTGAGAGCAGGGCATGCGTTTGGTCAGTCCTGTAATAGGACCTTGCATTTGGAAGGAGCAAAGCTCGACCCAAATTTGGCGGCGGACATCTCCAGTCTGAGCAACGCATGCTGGGCGGTTTGGGAGGATTTGCAAATCACGGCGATGTCATTAGCGTGTCCTAAGTCCCGAAGGCGGTCACCAGGGAGCAGTTCAACACCGCAGGACTCAGAGTTATCCAGGGCAGTATCCAGGATCTCGTCCATGGCGAAGTTGAACAAGAATGGAGAGGCTGGGCAACCTTGTCTAACACCGCTAGGGATACTGAAAGGGGGCGAAATATCTCCGTATGCTAGTACGCGGCCCGAAGTTTGATGGTAAATAGCACGGAGAATGCTGATGTACTTCTCAGGTACTCCCCTCTTCAGTAAGCAGTCCCAAAGAGCCACTCTGTCAACAGAGTTTAATGCGGCTTGAATATCCAAGAATATGACTATAGCTGGTCGACTGAACGTAGGGCGATGTTCAAGTATCTGGCGGATCGTAAAGATGTGATCGATGCAACAGCGATCCGGGCGAAATCCGGCTTGTTATTCACGCAGGTACTGTTCCCGTACGCAACTGAGTCTCCGTAAGAGTAGGGCAGCGAGCCGTTTGCATGCGAAACAAATGATACTGATGCCACGATGGTTGGAGCAAATGGTCCGGTCTCCTTTTTGTAAAGTAGTACAACATCCGCTAAATTTCAGTCGGATGGAATGGTTTCAGCAGTCCAAATCTGATGGAATGGTAATGTCAGTTCGCGAGTGAGAGCAGGACCTCCATATTTGTAAAGGGCTGGAGAAAGTTCATCTGGGCCAGGTGATTTGTGGCGCTTTAGTAGGCGAAGCTCATTGCAAACCTCAACCTCTGTTGGTGGAGAAACATCCACGCACCAGGGAGCACTGTGAACGCAGGAAGATAGACTCGCTTGCGCTGCTGGCCAGTTGAATTGATCTTCAAAGTGCTCTGTCCATCCTACCAGACGACGGTGACGACTGTGAATTAGTTCACCGTCATTTCCACGCAAAACATCACTCACTGTTGGTCTTCTGCCTCCCGTGGAGCGAATAAGTTGGAAGAGTTTGCGGAAGTTTCCTAATGAGGCTGCCCGCTCCGTCTCAAGGACGCGTTGTGTCCACCAAATCTCGCGATCCCTCATGAGGAGCTGTCTGTGCTCAGCACCTGTGGTACTGCGCAGTACGTTGCATTGAACTCCGGCGGGAATTGTTCGACGACTTACCACTAATTAAAGTGACTGTGTAGAGATCCAATGACTAGTAGCTCGTCTAGTGGAACCACAGACAAGGGTAGCGAACTTTCCGAAGGTGCTCTGGATCTGTGTCCAGTGTGTCTCAACATCGGAGGATGGAGAACGCAAGTTGGAGGCTAATGTGTTCTGAAATGTGCCGAAAACATTTGAAACGGCGAGCTTGTCTGTGTCAAACCGTTTCCGGCGACGCTGTTGGATGCCTCCAAAGCCCAGAACTAACTTAGCACACACGAGTGCATGATCCGAAGTCAGGTAAGTGTTCCATATTGACTTGCAGTCCGTTATGCAGCCACGCCAACGGTAACTAACAGTGATGTGGTCAAGTTGCGTCCAAGCTTGATAAGGCGCCGGAGGTCGCCAGGTGGCTCGTTAGGGCCAGGAATGTTGGAAATTGGTGCTGGAGAGGTACAAGCCGTGGTCGGCGCGCAGTTGGAGGGATCAATCGCCGTTATCCATCCTGTGAGCACCGTGGCTGTGTTGACCCCCAAGTTTGCTCTCATGATTCACTAGTCTACAGACCTGCGCATTTACGTCACCGGCGATTATCACAATGTCCGTGCGGCGTTTCTTGCGGAGGAGGTCGGTGAGTTGGCGGTAGAACTAGTCTTTAGCTTCGTCCGGGCTGCAGTCAGTTGGAGCACATGCCGCCACAATGAATAAGCCGCTCCTACTGGTCCCGTGGCTGAAAAGTCGCACTGAGCTTTCCAAACGGACTGCACAAAGACGACTGTTGACCGGGAACCAGTCAATGAGCGCTGCCTCAGCACCCGCGCTTAACGCAACTCCTACGCCGACGCAACCAGAGGCTGCCACTGTCGCATCTCCAGATAAGCGCAAGGTGAATGTGCAATTGGAACTTGTGGAGGGTGAGAGCAATCGCAGCGTTGTGCTGGAGTCTTGTAAACGGGTTTCGGTTAGGCAGCAAACGTCCATTGTGAGGGTTTCCAAGGTTCGCGCAAGAGCAGCTTATGAACCAATCTGCATGAGCTTTCGAACATTGTATGTAGCCAGCATGAAGAGCGAGCGGGGTGCAGTAAAAGCCTTGCTGTTGATATTGGAACTTATGCAATAGGTTTTGAGCTGTTCATTTATGAGGCCGAAGGTACCGATTTTATTTGCAATGCACTTTTGGAGACTCGAACTTGAAGGCGGGTTGCCAAGAACAGGAGGGTTGAATAAACGTGAAATGGAGAACGTGGTTTGCGGTGCGGTTGAGTGAGGTTTAGCATGCCGGCCGCCAGCACACCGGCCAAAAAGAGAGAGTTAAGAGGGCGAGAGAAGTGAGCACAGCGTTGTAAATCCGCCAATCAAAACGTCAAAATCAAGTCCAAGGCAATGTGCTTGATTGCCTCAAGAGCTTCTGTGCACATAGCCATGATTGATAGGCCCTAATTAGCAACGCTTCACTGATTGTCAACATTATCGGATTCCGGTTACGTAATAGAACTTTGAACGCAGTCTTGGGGTCCACATTGTGACCATTTGTCACGAGGTGCTTGGTGGTAGATGATGACGGAATCCGGTTCATACTGGGAAGCGCTTCATTTTGTTGCGTCATCATCTGCTCCGCCCACTTTGGCAAGTGTTCAGCCACCCTCTGAGCCAACCGACGGTTAGTTCTGCCTATATAAACGTCCTTGCAACTGCAGGTGAACTGATAAACCACATGAGAGGGCAAACTAGCCGAAGAGTAGCTCTGACGGTCATGAAGAACAAGTTCCGAGTCGTGTGCATGAGGCGCAACTGGGCAGTTTTGTAGGTGCGCTTTAGAGCGGACCTGAGCTTGTGTCCGATATCGTTTGCCACATGGTCTCCCTTGAAGGGCAGGAACAGATAAACAGCTTTTTTCTCTGCCGTTAGCACCGGCAGTTTCTTTTTGGGGAGTCTGCTGTGCACTTGGATGAACTTTGC